GTTTTTAGTAAAAAAGGTACGCTGGGTCCATATTGGTCTTTAAAAATAATGTTACACCAGGAATTGAAATTGTCAATATTTTCTATCGTAGCGGGTTGTGAAGAACAGTTGAGTTATTTACTTTTTGCGAATTGTTATTTTCACCGAAATATTATTTTTAGTAAATTATTATTTGACAAAGTAAAAAAAAATAATTGAAATTATTAAATAGTATTACAATAAACTAACAAAAATAATTGGAAACTACACTATTAATAAAATTTATCTTTATCTCAATGGTAATTTTTATAACAAATTCTCGAAAAGATTTCCATTTTACTGAATACTTTTTTCAGCTCGACGTCGAATTGCCCGCGAAGACCTCAAAACTTCAAAATTATTTTGTCTGATTTGATTCGCAGCTAAATTAATCCTCTTTGTAATTCTTCCAAATGATTTATTTCTGTAAACTACAGCCTTCTTCCTACCCCACAGAAAGTAATCTAGAGGATTTAGGTCTAGAGATCAAGGTGGCCATGAAATGGAGCCACCTCTATCTATTCACCTGCCAGGAAAATTATCGTTTAACCAATTTATGACATTATGGCTAAAGTGAGGTGGTGCCCCATCTTGCTGATAGTGTAACGTTAAGCGTACGTTGAACGGTGTATGATCTAATAGTTCTCTTACATCATTTTGCAGAAAGTTTAAGGAACCTTCTGAATTTAGACAAACGGGAAACTGAATTGGTCCAAGTAGCTGGTCCCCTAAAATTCCTGTCCACACATTTATTGCAAATCTATTTTGAAAATTTGTGCGCCGTATTGCCCGTGAATTTTAGTTTGACCAGAAATGGGTATTATGAATATCTGCTAGCCCTACATTCGTAAAATTTTACATTTTCGACTGATGACAATTCACAAAAAATAAACAACTGAATTGTCAATGCAAATGACGCTAATCGCATTATTGTTATTCAAAACCAGCGGCGATAAAAAATATTGACAATTTCGATTCTTGGTGATTAATACATGTAACATTATTTTTAAACGGATTTTACACTAAAATGGAACATTCTACAATCTGAACCAAGAGTACCTTTTTTTACTAGGTCACAATGAGATTTCATACTTTTTAGTGAAAAGTCAAAAAAGTTCGTGCATAAAAAAGTTATGGTAAATTTTACTCCCCTCTCCCCCACTGAACGTATGTGATGAAAATTTGTAAATTTTGTTTTAGTAGCTGACTGAGCACGAAAGAGTTAAGCTACATATCAAATTTCAGAAATTTATCTCAACTGGTTTCAGAGTTATTTAGAAAAGAAAACATATCAGAATGTCCTCTTTAAGTGGCTATAACTTCCTTAGGAAGAATTTTTGGACGTACGTTTATATAAAGAAAAAGTAATCTTTTTCGACATAGAACACCCTGTAGAAATACTGTCCCCTAATTTCGGGACCCTGTATAGGTACGTTTGCTTAAATTACAATATTTTAGGCACTCCTCATCTGCTCTATGTCAATTCTTATACAGGACACCCTGTATAGGTATATGTATTGTAGTTTATTTATACAAGAATGCACAAGTTAGTGCAGTATCAGGAAAAAATAGGACAAAAATAGCTTGTAAACAGTGCATCATCTTCAGCAAAGAAAAATCAATTATAAGACGCGATCTTGCCAAGTTTAGATAAGCTGTCGACTGGGACATCCTTGCAGGAGTTAACGAGTTTGATTTTAACTTAAAAGTCAATTTGAGCACGCCCACGGTATTGGATTTTATCTCGCATTATGGCAGATACGGCTCTCCATAGCGGAGCTAATCAAATTTAATAAGAGCAGTAAAAAGGCTTGGTCGGTGGCAGTTTATGTGTGGTGCAGACAGGATTATATAACACGTCGCATCTCAGGACGATAAATTGCACAAGTTCCATTGCTTTCAAATTTCTTTTAGAATTTACACTGGAGGAGCAGCAGTTCCTTCTAACAAAGATTTTATTGGACAAATCGTCTTTCAGTAGAATATTTTCCCGTTAGGGGACAGTTGTACACAAAAATCTCACGTAAAATTATAAACCAGATTATTGGTTACATTGGTCCCAGTATTACAGCTTATTTCTCAGGAATGTGTGTCTTTTTTTATCTTTTAACAAAACAATTCTTCCTAAAACTGAAACCCATAGAATTTGCCAGCTGCAGTAGCGAATGTACCGAACTTGAATCAATTTTAGTCCTATCTTTTTTACTTATTTGCTTTTTGATTCACGTCATTATCTCTGTCATTATTTGAGGTATAGTCTTTCCGAAGTTAGTTGAACACGAGGTTAAACATGTATAAAAATGCCTAGTACTAAAATTTAATCAGTTTCATAGGCGTCCCTAAAAAAGTTTTCTGCTAAATATAAAAAATTATAATGTGTAGAAAATTTCCATTATATGTTCATTTTTCCAACAACATAAGAAGATGACTTAGGCCGGTTCCGCTCCGGAAGTGGGGCAGTTTGAGCCAGCATCCATCGAGTTCAGAGGCTGCTCCACTTCCGGTGCAGAACCCGCCTAACATATCTACTGACATATTTTAATTATTTATGTCCTCAAACCGTTTTATTATATCGATGGTAAATTTCGTTTTGTTCCGTTTCAAAAGGTCTCCAAAATGCCATGTTGTAATAATAGATATTAGTAAACAAAATATCCCTCTTATTTCTCCCTTTCGCAATTGTAATATGAATGACTAATAGAAGGTGCCTATAATAAATTAAAATTACCTGAATCACACCTAATTCCGCATTGCTGCACTGCACTGCTGCCATTTGTTGACAACTGAGCTTGGAAGTAGATTATTTAATTATGTAAATATTACATCAGTAGATGTCGAACGGTCGTTCTCTTCAGATTAAGATAGGGTAAAAACATAATGATGCGATCTATAACGAATCTCGTCCAAATAGTGGAACAGATGACAACGATGCGTATAACAATTTACGTGTTTTACAATGATGCAAATACATAAATCTTATAATCATTGTTCTTTATTTTATGTTGATGATCCGCGCGGTCAAATATGATCTATTGATGTAATTTCTTAAATTAAATTTAAATTAAAGCTCATAACTCAATAACTATGTCATAAAAATGTTATTTAAAAAATGTTACCAAATATACAAGGTGTTTAAAAGAAGTGCAAATAACTTAAAAAGTAAAAGGTATTAAAAAAGTTCACACGAACATAAATGTCCGGAAAAGCTTCGTTTCCGTCATACAGGGTGTTGCAGTTTTCGTAAAAAAATTGTTTACTGTTTGACTAAATCAATTTAAATTTGGTACAGAGTATTAAGTTTGCACGATGTGAATATGGATATGATAAATGAGTCAAAGCAGGGATATTTAATTATTCTTTGGGCAGTACTGGTGCACTACCAAAATTTTCGCAAAAGTTATTACTTTTGCTATTGCATCTTCTGAATGAGCAAAATAAATTACAGAGAAAAGTTAACCTTATCTTTTGTCGACAGGACACACCGTTTCCAAGAAAATTGGAAAATGTGATTTAAACTCTCCTTTACAGATGCACAAACACAACATTTGATGATACACACATTCCAGCACAAAATTTGACTTTTTCGTCTTAACAAATGATTTATTAATATATTCAAAAAAAGTAATATCACCTTTTCAATTTTACAAAAATACAAGTCAATTCTTTGTCGTGTTTTCTTATAAAATAATATATTTTTGTTCTTCTGAATAAATATATTAAAATTTTAAATTTAAATTACATTAAATTCAAAAAATATTAAATTTCATTTACTTATATTTTGATTTTTATTGTTTGCTTTTATTTGGAAGTATACCTACCTTACGAACAAAGTTGGACTGGACGTGGATCATTTCCATGGCCACCTAGATCGCCAGACCTGAATATGATAAAATACATATAATGGCGTATACAGAAAACTAGCAAGTTCTACAATAGCGATTAGAAGAGAGTTGCAACATCTCAATTCATTCTCCAACATTTTTAACGTCTATGAATCGAATTCATAGAAACTTTTTTATCTCGATGAGTACAGCGTTCAAAAGTGATATACCAACAGTTTGTGTTGTCATGTGTATACATTCAAGAAGGGTTTTCAATGAACATTTTGTAATTCTTATTGGCACTAGATATGACCTTTTCTGTGTAGTTTACCCTGATCTTTCAGCAAATGCTACAATTTTTGGAGGAATACAATAGTAAGTATGTTAAACAACCAATTTTTTTTTTTTTTCTGAAGTAATTCTGAAATATATTCGACACTTTCTGAACTGCATGCGACTATTCTAAAATCCAACACAATGGATATAATTTCCACACCATTTTCTGAATTAAAAATGAGATACAATTGATACTTCTTGAAACACGCGACAGATCTACAATTCTAATTACATTTCCTGAAATAAAACTGATTAAGCTGTAATATAACTAAACCTTCCTGAAACACATGTGTCCCCAAATGTCGAATATTTTTGTAGTAAACTGAAATAGTAAATCCGAGTTCCTAAAACGTCATGACATTTTCTTACGTGAGATTTGTATTACTTAAATACATGCTAAATTTCACTCTAAAAACGACTGTAACATGTTGAGTTGGTATAACCACTGCCACATGCCGCCTACATGCGACCCCGCACTTCTGGGAAACAACTTTCTCGTTCCTCTTGCAAATTGAATTGCACTTAATAAGCAGCACATGCCTTAATTACGCCGACTTTAATAGCTGTGCATTTAGTACACCGCCAACGTTCATCCCAAATCTGCCTCTGAACTTATGTTTGATTTACCGACAAAAAACGACTGTTAAACGTCAAGTCAGTTTACTTGTCAGTAGAAAATGCTTAAAGAGATATGCCAACACTAAATCCTGCTAATATTCTGATATTTAATACGCTTTACGAATGATTCCGCTGTAGCATTTCACCCGCCAGGAACTTCAACGGGGTACAAAGAGGTCATAATCAGGTAAACACTGCTTGTTCCAGATCCACGACTCCACCTACGGAGGGGGCTCCGACGACGAGGACTTCTTCAGCGTGTACCACCAGAGCGCGGCCGCCAACGCCCTCCTGTACGTCGGCCTTGGCACCACCGCGATCGGTAGTGTCATCTTCTTCGTCGGCACCGGCGAGAAGGGCTTCAAGACCCTAGAACTGCGGCTTATAGGGCCTACCCTCATAGCGTGCGGCCTACTGTGTTGCCTAATTCGTGTCTTGTTGTGCGCTTGTCCCTCCACCTGCTTCAGGAGGAGGAAAAAGACCCGGCTCAAAAACAACGCCTGCCCCCATAGCTCCAGTAGGTACCCCCTAGCACCGAAGTATCGAGACGCACGTGACTCCGATTTCGTCCAGGTGGACAAGACCGCGTTGTTGAGCAAGCACAAGAAGAAGGTGTCCATTGGTAAGTCTTATTTTCACACTTAGTTTTCTTCCTTGTCCTGTGGAATGATTTCCTAGAAAGAGTTCAAAGCACTGCGAACAATTTCTTCATTAGACGGGATTGTTATTTGCACAAAATCCAAAAGTGTGCTAGCCGATGTTTCTCTTAATTTCGTAGTATTTAAAAGTGACTTACCAATGAGGTTGACTCTCTAGCGCGCAAAGTCCTTCCATTCTATAGAACTGATAGTTGGGCGCCAATATTACAAAAAAAAGGAAAGCGCAAATAGGAAACCGCAAACGCGGGTAGGTATTTAAATTAAAATTCCATATTGTAAGTTTAATGTCTTAAAAGAAATCACCAAAATCATTTTTCCCAATTTTATAAATATTTTTTTACATCGTGTCAAAGTCCTCTTTATCGCAACAATTTTTATTAAAAAAGTTTTTCGATATCTCTTCTTATTAAGATGTATAAGACGCATGTTACTGATTTTGTCAGGATTGCTGTGGAAAACAAAATAATGATTGTATCATTGTTTACATAAATCAGTTGCGGACTATTATCATCGTTTTTTTTTAATTATATGAGTGTACATTTACTGTATTTATTGAGCAATGAATAGGTACTCATAATCAAAAAGTAGATATGATTTAAATTTTTGTGAATGCTTGGAAAGATTCAAAACCTGCAGTACCTACGACTTTATATAGACAAAGGATTTATGTCAATAATCAATATAAACATTAACTTTATCCTGTCTTTCATGGAAACGTTGATAAAATCAGTAACAGACTTGATTGAACCAGCATTTTCTTTACACATATCGTCTTGTATCTTTTGAGGGAAAAGAGGCATCAAAAAACTATTACAGTATAAGTTGTTGAGAAAAAGGTGGACTTTCAGATGATATAACTAAAATGCACTTACTGTGTTCTATTTATACTTTCCACCTTCCTGTAATGACGACCAACCATCAGTTTTGAGTTAAGCTTTATGTGAAACAAATTCTGTAATTCCTCCTTAATTTATTTGAAATCCTTAGTAAATCCCTTTAAATCTTAGTATACCCTAAATTCCTTAGTAAATCTTTCTTCCTACATCCCAGTAATTCCTCAGTAAATTCTCCTACAACCCGGGAATTCTACGAGTAATTCCCCATAAATCTTTATACTCACATATTTTTTCTTACATTTACCATCTTCTGAGCATTATTCTGAGCCTTATATAGGGTGCATAATTAGACTGTTAAACTTCATCACTGTATTTTACATTAAAAAAGAGCTCAAATAAACATACAGCTTCGCTATTAAAAGAGTTAGTGGGTGATTATCATAATTATTTCATGTGAGAATGAACGAATAAATTTTTCTGAAATTGTTAGATTTGGGGTAAATATTATAATACCTAAAGTCAAATATCTACTTTAAAATGTAAAATAGTTTATATCTATCTTTGTGGCTTTAAAGATGTCTAAATTTTAAAGCAAGTTTGAAATTCAGTATAAAGTTGATATGTGAATATCAGTAATCCATTTCAATTTAAAACTGTATCTACTATTTATTTGTAGAAGGTGCTAAATGAAATTTATCTATTCTCCCCATCTGCAAGGTTAATCTGACACAGTAGATATAACTCTACGTATATACCCTGCTGATTTCACTTTCCAGAGATGCAATTGACACTGTTCTGTTAAAAATCATTTGTCATCATTTGTAGTTTTTCTTAAACTAATCTTGCGAGGAAACATTTAACTTTTTCTTCGATGACTCTGGTCTTAGGAAAACTGTTTCCAATTCCTATTTTGCAAATTCATCTGAATTTTATTTAAATTTTTCATTTCCTTCAATATTTCATACTATAGCATACTATTTATCAATTCATTTAACAATTGTAAACAGTTGACAGCCTGACTATTGCAGAGAATATGATTGTGTGTAGCCCCTCTGCAAATTCTCCGTTAAAGGAACTTACAGCGAAAAATTTCTACACGGAAGAACCCGATCTGTACTTTTTGCCGTTTCCTCAATTCTACTTCTCTAGCTCCAATTGCAATGTCTGTTTTGAAACCATCTGTAATCCAACCTAGGCATCTATTTCCACTGCATTGTAAGTGGCCTCCCATTCTACTTAATTTTGTATTCGAAACTCTTACAGAAGTTGAATTTTACGATAGTGCGCCTCATCTCTGGAAGCCGTAGCAGATTTAACAAAAGTCTGAAATGCAAGATACAGCATTTCTCAATTAATTAATAATTAATTTCTTTATTTTTATTCAGTTCTTTGATGGTTTGACCTATTTTCTAGGCAGATTTGGTTTAGCAGCGTGACTCCTTGGGAAGAGACGACACGTGATTCCCATGATTTCCTCTTTTGGAATTGTTCTGGGTGCTGTGGAGAAATTTGACAGGCATATTAGTGAAATTTCATCTAATTCACACAGGCTAGGTTAAAGATGACCCAAGACTTGTCTAGATTTGTCCTATTGGAATGCTTTTTCTAGAAGCAGTTTCTTCACAACACCATCATAAGAATGTCAGTTGGCTTAACAGCTTCCTATATGTTCCCAATTTCCTTAAGTTTTCTCACGTATGAGCGTGGAAAACTGTCCAACAAATTATTTAGTTTGTTGTTCTAATGAACATTTTTCTGGACCACTCATCAAATTAATCTGTTCCAGTTCCGCCGAATCATTCCCTTCCGAGCACCAGCACCACAGAATTCAAGGACCTGCCCCAGGCAACGCTCCACCACGAGGAGGAGAGGGACAAAAGGATGCCCATACCCCAGATCCAGCTGCCGGAGCTGCCCAGTTTCAGCAGCGACGACGGGGGCAACAAGTTGTCGCGCGAGGACTCGATCATAGAACTGCAGACTCTGGACTTGACGTACGACATACAGAGTGTTTCGAGTAACGACAGTGACAGCATAACGGTGATCGAGACGGAGAAAATCACCACATCGAAGTTGGCGAGGCCGCGGGAACCTATTAACGTGCACAGCGACAATATAGAGACCTGTTTGAGTGTAGTTATCGAGAGAAATGATAACAGTGAGAGCAGTGACGGCACCAGTGGGGACAAGAAGGAGGGGGGTAGTGAGAAACAGACACACAGCGGTATTGTACTGAGTCCGTTGCAATTGGGACAATAACTCATTGTTTTAGATTAGACGAATGCTGCACTGGTTTTGACAATTGGTTAATTTTCAATATACGGTCTTCCCCTTAAACATAAGTTTACATGTTTAAAATTTAAACAACTAAGTTATGATACTTGAGTTTTAATAAACAAAATTTTGTAAAGGGCCAAGTTCTTTACCTTGTAATACTCTTCTGAATTCACTATTTTATTTTCAAGGTCTAAACAGCTGTTACTAATGAAGAAAATTAATGACTGCTGCGGATATCAGTCCAATGCATCAACTTTAGAACAGTATTGTCATCTAGTGCTTTCAAGAATATCTATTTAATTTTTTTTTCTGGGATGTTACTTTTTAGAAAGTTAATTATTTTTCTGTTGTGAACTTTTCTGTCAAAACTGGTTCAGCACTGTTAGTACTTATATGGAATTGATTAACTATTTAAAAATAAGAGAAAAGCTGTTCTGTCATTGCTACCAATAAAATGTACTGATACGTAGGGTGATAGAACAAAAGTTTGTAATTCAGACATGAGAAAGATAGGTTTTTTGGGAGGGTAAATCCAAAATTTTACATTTTCATAGTGTGGTTTCATCCTTAATGAACATTTCAACAAGCTTACAGACAATAAGTTTAAAAGTAATAATGATAAAATCAAAATCAAACTTCACAGAACAATTATCAAGCAAGTTGAAAATTATTACCATTTCCAAGAGGGTTATTTCCTTTCAAAAACTTAGATTTTCAAACTCTTAAAAAAGTTTATCCATACATATTAATTTAAAATTATTCCCTTGTGAACTGTACACATTATTTCTCTAAGTCAGTCAGTTGATACTAATAAAATGTATACTGAACATTTGACCTAATTTTTTCTTTGATTTCATTCTTCAGTCATAACTTTAAAGTCTATTTTTTTTAACTATAAGACACAGAAAAAAATGATATGTATAACAACCCAGATAATATAACACATACTAATATGTAATATTATTAAAACGAACTGAAGTGTTTATTGAAATTCGTATCTAAGGTCCATCCTATAACGTTCATAAATTTTAGATACGAAAAACATAATATTGCACTGATAAAAAGCAACCGTTTTAATGCGAGACATTAAGTATTAAACACATTGATAAAATATTGAGTGATGTCCTTCTCAAAACCCGTCTTTCCCAAATATATCAGATGAGCAATTATCTGAAGGTGTACGCTAAAATTATTTTGCGTTGGCTACTTTTTTTGGACAACGTGAATGTATTAAAGTAAAGTAATATTTGCTAAAAATTATATTAACCTAGCGTGCCTGTATTTCTATTTTCATCCTAAATATTATGCTTTTACTTTCAGTTTTTGATTAGATATTAAAGTTGGAACTTCTTACAGCAATATTGTTATTGGCCTAATTTTATCAAGAAGATTCACAGAATGTTACATTACAAGGTGTGCAAACAAACATTTGTCCAACATACAAGTAAAACAAATTAAAGTAAATGTTTTTCTCGGTATTTCAGCATATAAGATGAAAAATATAAGGTACCTACATATTTTTGCAGTTAATATAATTTTTTTCTTGTAATGTAACATTTTTATTGTATACAGAATATATCTTCATTTTTCAATTATTTTTAAATCATTCCTAGTTTCTTGTGATGAGCAATAGCAAATATTTTATGGAGCATTCAAAATTTTATATAAAAAAAACATGGGTGAAGACTGTGCTTGTGTTTCAATTGCAACAAACTTATTTTTGTACTGAAATGAAGATATAATCTCGTAGAAATGCATTTTCAAATGTTAGATATAAATGTACCATTATGAATTAAATCACCTAATTTGAATTTGTAAATCATGAATTCCAAGTACAATCCGTTTTACAGTACAATAAATTTTCGTTGTTTAATATAATAATTGATAATTTGATAGGGAATTATAATTTGCTCAATCAAAAATAGAGGAAAAATTGTTGATTTGTTATACCTACTGATTATTTTTTGTAATTGTACATGTAAAGTTCATCATTATTATTTAATTACATAGAAGATATAAAAATGTACGTATATGTAAAAAAACTTGACGATCATGTATAAAATTGCGTTAATTGAGATTTGATTAATTTAATTGTTACATATGAGTTTATTTTCCACTGTTTGTAGAATTTTATGCATGATATGGAAGTTACTATATTAAAGTTATATAGAAATGCCAGTGGACAAATATGTAAGCATAATTGGTACATATCGATTATAAATAAAATATAATTGCGAAAACTATTCTTTTTTTATGATTCCTATCTTTGTATTTATCATTAAAAAACGGATCTCCGAATCGAATATTGTAAACAACATTTGTTTCTAAAACGATACGATTTGAATTTCTGTAAGTATATAGGATAATGTAGAGATCTGTGATATTTCTTTACTCTCAATATATATCGAAAAGACTGCCAGTAATATTTTTTTTGAGAAAACATTATCATTTTCTGAATAAAGTAAGACGTAACTCATATATTTATATGTATGTACCTATTGCTACAACAAATAGTATTTTAGTACTTCATCATAATTGTATCAATTATAGTGCAATTCTGGTACAGGAATAAGGACATCACAAATACCAAAAAAAATTTTTACGTCGATACTACTAACTAGAAATAGGGAATAAGTTTACTCTGCAATTAAAAGTGGGTACTTACCAAATTGGACGACTTTTTCAGGTAAATCACAGGAATACAACTTTTAACACCTGTCTTGAATAGTGTTATCAAGACATATTAAACATAATCAATAAAATTCAAAACTATAAAATTGAAAATATTTTGTGTTCATCGTACATTTACTTGTCTATATATGCATCAATGAACTACTAGCATGTACTATTACTGTTAAAAAAAATTTATACCATCATTTGAAAGGATCGAAACAAGTGTAAAAAAGTGTTTATTCAGTCTAATTAACAAAAATCGTGTTTCGTATTCCGTATGTAATAAAGCAAAACGAGTAATTTTAATTTAAACATTAATTAATCAATATTCATATTTTTATGTCTTGTTATGTACCTATGCACATTTTCAGATTTAAATGAAAAATCAAACTAAAGTCAGCGACATCTATGAGCAAATGAGTTTAATAATTAATGTGCAGTTCACCCTAAATATAGTTTTCTTCATTCAGCCGAACGGTCAAGTTTTATCAAAAATTGAATATTTGATGTTTGTTTTAATATGCATTTTGATTTTGATCATGTGTTTGTTTACCGACATATTTATTAACATCTCAAACTTTTTATCTAGCGAATTCTAGTACGAACAAAATTGCAAAAAACTGACTTGAACATAGGCGCAAAAAAAGGCAGCCAAGTAGATCTTCACCGCTATATTAGTCAGAGAACGTATGTAAAATATATTTTCACACTATTTATACCTGCACTATGTGGAACTAATACCACACTCTTCTATTTTTAGGAATATGTTACCAAATAAACAAGGCATTTCCAGAAATTCACGATACTCTGGATATGTCAGAATCGAGATTTTTGAGACACTAGCGCTAAATGTGTCTATTCCCGCCGCCCAATTTAGAAAAAATAGTGCTAAAAATACAAATATTTACTTACGTACCTATACCTACGTGAGCCATCATACTGCGGTAAATAACTTCAGAGGTATTTTAAAATGTGTAAATAGTATCAGAAAGAGATTTCGTTTTACTGTCTGAGCCATATCATTAAAATATAAATGAAAATGAGTAAACATATGTACTCGACAGCTAATCTGTCTGATAAAGAATTGAAGGAACAGGGAAACCGTTTATTTAACTTAAGGAAATATGAAGATGCTATTAGTTGTTACAGTAAAGCAATCGTAAGTATTAAAAGTGACTAAAATTACTTTTTTCTTGGGTACTATTTGACATAAATTTTGAGGTTATGTTTACGAAATGACATTGAAAATAATAAGCAAATTATTTAAACACTCTAGAACTTTGTTCTAGATTAAAAACCCGAATGTTGCACATTATTTTACAAATAGGGCCTTGTGCCACCTCAAACTGTTGCGGTGGGAGCAGGCATGCACCGATTGTCGAAGAGCCTTAGATATGGATCCTAATTTAGTTAAAGGACATTTCTTCTTAGGACAAGCTCTGTTAGAAACTGAGAATTATGACGAGGCTATAAAACACTTAAGGATAGGTAAATGGTCAACATTACATCGATACCACTATTATAAATACCCCATTTTTAGCTGTTGATCTGGCGAAGGATCAAAAACTCAATTTTGGAGATGCCATAGCTTCACAGTTGAGAACTGCAAGGAAAAAACGTTTTTCCATTCAGGAAGAGAAGAGGATAGCCCAAGAGATAGAACTGCATTCTTATTTAAATAAGTTAATAGAAAATGATAAGGAAGCGCAAATTAATATAGCCACAGATGATGATACTGATACTGAAACCAAGAATAATAAAGTTCAGGAAATTGAAGAAAAATGTGTAAGAATATTTGTTTTTCTAGCATTTAATTGATCACTTTCAATAGAAACATTTTTCACTTATTTCCTGTTGACTTTTGTAAAACTACCAAGTATTATTTCTATTTTAGGATACGTATTTGACTGAATTGAACCAGTTGTTTGCTAAAGTGGACGATCGGAGACGTGTAAGTATTTTTATTACTTATTATTATTCCAGGTCTTATATCTTATATACTTTAATATAGAGAGCCTTAGAAACTAAACTTTAAACGTTTTTTTAGAGACTGGCCTTTGGCGTTTCTAATTTAATTTGTATGATTAATTGGATTTTACACTGGTCATATTCATTAATATCCGAAATTCGGCTTGTGAAGGTCAACTGTTTTATACTGATTTATTATTGACACAAATCGAAAATATAATGTGTGTTTCATATTGTGAAAAAAAAAAAATATTTTTCAGTCTTTAAAAAAAAGATAATAAATAAATAAGTAATCTTGTAATTTGAATTTTTCTATTTTGTTGAGTTTAATAGTCGATAACCTGTTATTGTAGAAACGAGAAGTACCTGACTATCTTTGCGGTAAGATAAGTTTTGAGATACTTCAAGAACCTGTCATTACTCCCAGCGGTATTACTTATGACAAGAAAGACTTAGAGGAGCACTTACAGGTGAGTAATTTTCTAGAAAACGTGTCATAGATTGATTGATGCTGGGTGTATACCAATTTGTAAATCCGTAGAATTTCTCTAACTTTCATGAAAGTTTTTTTAAATTCTTTTTCTTTATCTACGAGGTGTTGCCATTGGATGTCATGGTTATGAAAAGTAAACTTGCTATTAAGGCATTTTAATTTTATTTGTAACCGCCAGTATTGTATGTTTATTTGTTGACCACCTTCAATTTAATTCCATTTTTACGAAAATGTTACATTATTTTCGGCTAAAATTAAAAATAATACATTTTCCCAAAGTATAAAATTCTAATGGCATTCATTTATTTTGGCTGTCTGAATCTTCATATCGAAATATTAAATTATTAAATATAAAACCAATATAATCCTGTTGCTTTTATTTTTAACTTTTCATATTTATTTAATTACATTACATTGATGATGAATTTTGAAACAATAATTTTTGTGGGAAACAAACTGGAAGCTACATGTCTTATTGAGCATTGAATTACAGAAAATACACACATTCTGTGCCTAAATTTAAGGTAATTTTGTTAAATAAACATGACGTCTTAAGTCCGCTGTTTTTTGGCTACAGGGTTTTAAAAGTTAAACCAAAAATCAGTTTAAAATTTTAAATTTCCATTATTTTTATCAACTTTTTTAATGTACTTTAACTACGAAATAAAATACATCTTCTATTAATAACCAGTGGGCAAGTCGTGGGAAATGTCATGTTTTTCTTTACGAAAAAAAACTGTATGTGTAATATTACACTCTGTCTTCATATGCTCCATTTAGCAACAAAACTGATTTTCTTGAGTATATTTTTTATATGTATACATAAAGTAATGATAATAATATCTCTACCCCTCATTCTAATTCCAAGGATTAGCACAGCAGTCGCACACTTGTGCGGGAGAGGTGGCGGCATATTATTATTCAGCAGGCTGCATGTGCCCCCTGGAACGACATCTGTTGTTAAGCTCTAACCACCGTTCAGTACAGCAATGAGGGAAACATGTTTAATAATACTACCTTACCTCGCCATGGATAACAAGTGGAAACAAATAATAACAATTATGGTTTGCTATCTTTTTGACAAGTGTTGTGATTACTTTTAAAAATTTTGATACAAAATTTAACATTTTTTCTATTATTAAATTAAAAGTTAATTTACAATTATTGTCCTGGCCACTTATACCAAAATAGTTAGACAAATTTATGCTGAAAGATTTCTTAATCACCTAACTCTGAATCCTAAAAAGTTCAAAGACATTCAGAGTCGAATTCATTTACATAAAAACGCCTCAAGTGAGCGATGACCTGCTACATATTTAAATGTAAGCAATAAATTAGTATGGTCAATCATTAAAGACCAACAATTGTAGTTATACCTCTATCACATAGGAGTTTAAACTTACTGTCAAAATTTCCCAAAATGTACCCTTTACCACTGATATACTGTTCACTAATCAAGCTAGTATTCATATTTGATCTGATAAAAACCTTCTTGCCATAGTAGAGTCTCGTTTATCTGTAAATGCGTGCCACACTTTTTACTGGGAGTCCTTACTGGTGTTTGAGAGTTCCCCACATTTTAAAGTGACTGCTTGTGCATTCTTAAATGAGTTATTCTCCAATAAGTGGATTGCAGGAGGAGTTCAATGTCAGCCTTGGCCGCCTAGATTGCCAGACTCGATTGCAATTGATTTATTCTGCACGAGGTATCTCAAAATATTAGCCTAGACGGTTCCAATTATAAATGAAGGTTAACTTGGACAACGAATTATAGCTACTTTTGACACAATAAGCGCCAACATTTGCATTTTCCAATGGGTTCGAGATTCAGTAAGAAAAAAGATTGAAGTGTGCCGTTTGCCTAAAGGCGGCCGTAAGTAATTATTATAAGCGTTGTATTAAAAGTGATTTAAACTCTTTATTTATAGCTACTAAGGTAATATTATTAAACATGTAATATGTATTATGAAAAATGCACTTGCTAAGAAAACGGTTTTGTTGCAAAATGGCGAAGGATCCGGAAAATTGTGTGCACTATGATATACAAGAATTAATGTGTAATTCAATTCTGGATGGGACATGTAGTCCGCGGAGTAGTTGTTTCCCTTAATATTATTAGTGAAATATATTGCCTAGTACGACATTAGTCACGCTTTTATAGTACTTATAAATTAGTAGGTCATTTTGCAGAGCTGTGTGCCAATTGCCATTGAATAGTAACAATATACTTTGTAGATTATATTTTGCTGGCTTCATTGTAACTTTGATTTATTTGCACATCTCAATCTCAAAGAGGTAAATAGTATTAAATTTACAAAAAAGTTTGGAAGCATTGAGAATAACAGGATTATGAATATAAAATATTGTTCCAATTTAATAAATGAAAAAAAATGTATGCCAAATATAAAGATGGCGTTGTGCTTAAATTTTAGCTCGAATTTTAGTAATTATGAATCTCTTAAAACAGGAATTTAACTTTTAATCAAATTATTTGTTTTAAAAATATGTAACTAAAGTATCCAAAGATTCATATCGGCCAAATAATCATATGTATTAAAAATAATTTAGGTACTTACCAAAAAGCAAAATGCACTAACTTTTAATTGCATAAATATAAAACAAATTACAACATAAACTCAAAATGTCCACCACCATTTGCGATGCACGCACAACACCTTTGAATCCAATTTTGCCGCACTCGCTGGAAAACACCTCAAGAAAAGGAAATAGTGGTACGCAAAAAACACTCCAACATGCTTGAATCCAAGTACCAACTGAATTGCGTATTGGTTGTTGCTGGACAACTTAGTACCTCGTGCTAATAAACCGCTGCGCTGTTGTCACAATGCTCGATATGAATTTTATTGAATTTTAAATTTATTACAAAGCTAATTATTTTTTAGAATTAAGCATAATGAAGTTAAAAAAAAGTGATAAACATTGTATTTTATGGTATTCTATGCACGCACTTATGTCAATATTCCTTAGTTAATTGAATAAATTAATCCTTCACATGAAATCTAATGAAACGAATGAGGCCTACCAACACATTGATCCACTATTTTGTCCCTCTATAGCTATTGCCGCACAGTCACTCGGGAAAGATTTCTTAGTCGTAAGTTTTTCCCAAATACTATTTTTTTTAAATATCTTTCAAGATGAGCTTATTGATGGATATAGTCACATTCATGGACAATTCTTATCTACAGCAAATAAAAAAAGAGAGTCCCGATGTTCTTCATACAGACAACTAAATATATTCATCTAAATTTTGCAAAAACTGCATTTCAAAGTTTATGGAGTCTTGTAATAGTGATTTTTCAATACCTACAACATTGTTATCAAGAACAGAAGAATCAGGCTGTTGGACGACAATCTAGAAACTAGAAACAACAGCAATGTTGGCTTTCAACTAACACTAAGACTATCTGATACATATACGGCTGGAAAATCCACATAGTCCATCTGCCTTTACGTGAGAGTGACAAAGTAAGTCATAGAAATCCATACGATAGACAAGGATGGCTATATTCAAGATGTTTCATAATCTGAATAGTCGATTGGATGCGCTCGGTTAGAAGTGGGAGTGACTATTCAGATTATAAAACGTCTTCACTATAGTCATCCTTGTCTATCGCACAAATTTCTTTATTTTGTCGCTCTCATGTAAAGTCAGATGGACCATGTACTGTTGCCAGCCGTGTATATTATACTTACGTTAAATTTTAAAATGTTGCGCCAATATTTTTTATAAATTGAGAATTTCTTTTATTCTTACAACTTTATTATTCTGTTGCTGACTTTGAAGGTTTGTTTTTGGTTTTGCGAAATTTGATTGTTTCTTTTTGCGAAAATTACGTATTCCTATTTATAGTACAATTAAAAAGAGTACATTGTTTCTATTTTTTTATTCAAATTTTATAAAATGAATACTCTTTTGGCGACGAATTTCAAGTATTTACGAAAAACGTATTTTTTATTGCAAACACATTGCAGAATCATATACATATGCAGGTTCTCAGTAGGAGAAATGGAAAAAATTGAATTTTGTCAATTACAGCGCCATCTATCATAAATAAAAAAAAATGTTTCAGACAAATCCTATATACTTTTACCCATAGAATCCGAATCTGCAATAAAAAATAAGGGTTCCTATTTAAGATTTCAAGGTTTCCTCCCCCAGCTACATGGAGGGGGCAGGAGGGCTAATTTTACCATTAATGTATTCTCTCTATAGATTGATTAAATTTTGATTATAGAAATTTTTTCGTAGAGAGCTTATTTCTCGAGATATTTGAACGTTTCAGGTTAAAAAATACACTTGGTATATTAGCAAGGCGATGATTAAAATATAGAAATGATAGAGCTTATATTTTCTCAATATAACAAATATTTTAAATCTACATAGAAAGGGAACTTTTCATTAAAAATTTGGTACACACCCTCCCTGTTGTACACACCCTTCCATTTAAACCTTTTGCAGCGAGTCGGCCACTTTGATCCTGTAACTAGAGTAAAACTGACCCAAGATCAGCTGATCCCTAATTTCGCAATGAAGGAAGTTGTTGATGCATTTCTGGCAGAAAACGAATGGGCCCTGGATTATTAGGAAAAATCTTCCTCTTGTCGTCGTGTTTTATAATAAATACACTGTTATTATATGCACTAATTTGCTTTTGCTAATTTAAATCGAGGATAATAATATTAATTTACTTGGTTGGATATACCTATGTCTATACTTTTAATTTTTTGTATATTTCCCAATGTCATTTATGTAAATATTGATGGAATATATTTCTTATGTTAAGATAAACGGGACTTTTATTGCTATTCCTAAAAATGTGTCTAATTTAGGTAGTTACTAAAGCTCGACATTTTGATGTGTAAATAAAGCGGAGCTGTGGTGGAAGCTGTATGTCGTTTAGTTTCTTACTCGCTGATACGGGCCACTACATCTAAAGAAATTCAAAAGTGCCTCGTCCAACCTATGCCTATCAAATTAATAAGTTTATTAAATATTTTTGTGACTTCGGTGATGGAGCAGTGTTAAAATGGGTTTGTGGAAGAACTATGTTCGGTTGGAAATTCAATAAATATTCAAGGTATTGAAAATACCTGTTATAGCCAACTGGATATTTTTATGCTAATCAATAGAGCATTAAATCATCGATTTTGTGACAAAAATACTAGTAGCAAACGGACTATGCCATCATATAAAAGGCAGTCTGTAGATATATACTGATATGTTTGCTACTCCAGTTTACCATTAATTAATTTTTTATAAACATTTTTATGCGAAAATAAACGCATTTTTTTAAGTTTTTTACTTATAAAACCTATACCAATGAATTAATCTGAATGCTATACAGAGACAATTTTGGAGAATCGATATACGAATAAAACGAGAGGTCGATCGATAGGGATCGGATAATTAGAAACGAAGAAAACCCGGAAAAATCGGAAAATTTAATGTTTTTTTTTAAATTCAATACTCCACCATTTTTTAAGTTGTAAAGCTGACCCTGTGCACAAAAGTAGTGAATTATATGTAGGTACTTTAAGTGTGCACAAAGCAGACGTTATTGGACCATTAGCTTTGGTACAATTGCAATTAAAAATTTTTGGTGCACTATTTTGCAAAACTTCTGGATGTGTTGGAGGTAGTCCGATTTTAATTTTTGCAGTCGGATTTTAAAAGTAGAAGTATAACACTACAAAACGTATATTCTAATTTTCCTATAAAGTGATGCGAAATAAGGGAAAAATTCCTCTAAACATACTCAAAAGCGGCCGAGCGCGCGTACGCGGTCGAGTAGTGGGGGAAAATCGGGATATGAGGGGCAGTGGATATACAGGGTGTAACGTAAAGGTTGGGGATAAATTAAACAATGGATTGTTTAGTTTAAAAAATAAATTTTTGTCATATGAAGTTATTGTTAAATATATATATCAAATTTGAAAGTTCCCGCTCTCTGCCAGCGCCACCGGATATGTATGTGTGTAAACATTACTTGTAGGTATAAAGTAAAATACAAAAATATATATAAGCCACAGGGTTGCCAGATTGGGCTACTTATCGCCAATTGGGCTATCTCAGATGACTTTCGGCTACTTGAAAAAAAGCAAAAATAGCCAGTCGCCAATTTGGGCTATTTCGAGTTTTTACCAGTGTCGGCAATCTGTACAAATCGAATGTTAGAATAGTATATTTATATAAATTCTATTTTTACTCAAGACTGTTAAGTCTATTTTTTGGAATAAAACATTTTATTCGACTTATTTTTTATATTTTATATACCCATTTCTGTATTGTAGAATCTTAGAATAAATTGGTTATTTTATAAGTAACGTGTAGATAGTAGAAGAGTAATCTGTGCTAATAGTAAAGTTGTTGCTTGTTGTCAGTTGTACCAAAATAATCTAGTTTTATAATCATATATATATTTACCTTAGTTAAGTAATTATTCCAGAGATGAAGTATTTATTTATTGTCAGAGAATTATTTTTGAATTTAAATCTAGTTCGTTAGTACTTATGGCTGCCATCTGTTGAGTAGTAGCTAAATTACATATGTCAAGATCAAAGTGAGCTCAAATTTTTCCCATGTTGCAGCTACTAGATTATTACGGCCATAGTTGTACTTGTATGCATTATATGTTCTGTGGGTTGTATTCTTACCCTTACCCGAGAACAACAAACAGTTACTCTATTTCTCAGGGTTGTCCACATACCACTAGAAAAGGGTTATCCCCAGACTCACAGAACAAACTCAAACCCGAATGGTTTTAAACTTCAAATGTATAAAAATTATAAATAACGGTT